TCATTTTCAGTCATAATTATACATTTCCTAACATTTCTTTCTATTTAAAAATTCACGGCTTTCAAATGTTTTGCGCTTCGAATATTTTTTGTATTTAAATTTCTACTATGTATGTTAATTTATTTGTTTCTGTTTCTATACCATTGTACTTTGGTTTACGAGAATAAAGGTATACATGTAATACACAACATATGTTTAATGTTTATTTCATTCTCATTGAAGAAATGTTAAGACGCTATTATTCATCTGTACATACAATTTTCAAGGTAGGAATTTTTATTCATTTCAAAATTAGGATTATTTTTATGAAAAGATCAGCTATTATATTGCATCTGTTTAAAATATTCGTGCGACACATCAAAAGAAGACAATAAAATGGCTTCAAATGATAGTGGAGATTTGCTCAGACCCGGATCACATATTTATCTACAATACAGTGGTTTCAAAATAATGTACAATTTAGCCAGGAGGACCCACGTTTGTTTACACACTTTATGAACTTGCATAATCTTTTTAGCTCTGACTTTTTGTTTAATTTGCTCATCAATTTTCTAAACTTTAATGTATTTTCACGAGCCAAATAGTATTTTTCGAGTAAAGTTTTCTACTGTCGTAAAAAGAAAATGGACATTCTAGCAGATAATGAAATTCGTCTCAAATTCAACTTACCAAGTTAGTACTAAAATTTAACACCTTGCAATAAAATGAATGATAAATTCCTGCACCATATTTCACTCTTTTAATAGAGAAAATTAAGGAAAGAAAAACGGCGCGTGATATTTTTTTTTTTTTAAAGATTATAACTTTTTAAAAGGAAACTCATTAGTACTTCGAAATGGTGTATTTCAACTTTGCTAAACTTATTTCAACATTTTAGTTATTTGTCCTAGTTAAATTGTGCGGATGCCAGATTTATGTAACATATTTCACTATCTTCATAAAGACAAATACGGATTTAACATTCAAATTCTCTTAAAAAAACCTCTCAAGACAAACTTCTAACTTCTAGATCCCTCTGATCTTCATTATTATCAATACACTTGTCATACTTGCACATCCTGAATAAATCAATTGTTATTTTTATCAAATTTGGAAATTTAAAACTTCTAAAACTTTCCCCTAAGAGCGTAATCTTTCATTCTTCTCTATCTGTATAGATGCACCATTGTATCTATTTCTTATCCCTTATGACCATGAAATTTTCCTCCAATGTGTCGTGGCTTTCTATTGGCTCCTTTTTTTCATTTAATCAATTTTCTCAAAATTCTCAGATAATCCCGGATTATCTCAGAATTTTCAGATAATCCCGGATTTTCTACAGTTAATTATTTATCTAATTTTGTGAGGAATATAATGAATTATCTCAAATATGCATTAAGCTGAGAAAATCCCGGTTTATCTTAAAATTCTGAGATAAACCGGGATTATCTGAAAAAAAAAATCGAGGTAATCTCGGTTTATCTGAGCTTAATGTAAAATAGTGATATAATCCTAGTTTATCTGAGATAATCCTAGTTTATCTGAGATAATCTAGGATTATCTATAAAAGTGGTTCAGGCGTGGCATACAAATGCTACCAAGATTACCAAGATTACAAAGATGACATTTTCTATCATTTTTATCAACATTATTCCACCTCTTTGTTTCTATTGGGAGTCTGTGGTTTGTGGTTCTATCATATTAACATTATTCTACTTTCGTGCAGATCCAAAATATTTTTCAAAATTTAATTCTAACTTAAAAATTCTGTAATTAACTGCTTTTGTGGACTCTTGTAATTGTGTATTCCAGTACTGTTTGAATTGGTCTTGTAATAGACAGAATATGAAAATAAAAAAATGTAGGAATAGCCAGAAGACACCCTTTACACAATATGTTTATAGGTTTTATCAAATCTATTTTCAAATGAATTTATATTGAAGGAAAAAGTTTGCACACTACGTGAATACATAGAATAATACACCACTTTCTAAATAGAACAAGAACTACACGCGCCTAAAGTTTTAGGTACGAAATTAAACAAAAATATCACAAAAAGCGTAAGTACATAAGAACTGAAAATTATTCGCCAAAGAACTTTAAAAATGACAACACAAACGGCATTAATTGTTATCAATGAAATAATATACAAAGCCCTTAAAATTATCTATTTTCAAAAATGATATTTACATTAAAACAATATAGCCATATAGATGTTGATATCTTTTGGGGAATCATTATTCTTTCGTGTCAAGTTTGAACAAGCAATCAAAAATTAGATGTGGCATGTGTATTTGAATAGAATTAATACAGCTTTATTATGTATATCCGACCTGTTTAAAACATTTTTAGAAAATAAATGTCCTGTGAAAAATTCCAAAACTGAGGTATTGGAAATGTATTGGGCTTCGACCGCACTATGTTTTCATGGATTGTGTTAAATTTTTGATAAAAATTATAGTTAAAGCCAATGAATATGATGTCAATAGAACAAAAAGCTTCACTGAATCGTTTCGAAATTAACGAAGGACCATAAATTTGCAACGAACTAATCACCTGAACCAAACTAAATTTGAACTTGATCTGTAAATTGTCATAGTAAAACTATATAACAAATAGCAAATTAATATCTTCAAGTATAACAAAAAAAAAGTGCGGAAAACTGATTATTTGATGATTTTTTAAGCCCAAGGACCATAACTCTGCAGGAAATCATCAGACCGGAACAAAATTCAAATTTGATCTGTAACTTGTCATGGTAAAACTATATACCAAATAGCAAATCAATATCCTCAAGCACGAAGAAAAAAGTATGGAAAACTGATTTGTCGGACTGACGGATGGACAGACAGACAGACAGACTGACAAACAGACAGACGGAGTGGAAACCTATAGTCCCCTTCGATTTTGTCGGTAGGGGACTAATAAAGATTACACTGACGTGGCATACAGGTATATTTGAAATCTTGTGCCTCAATAGCTCGAGATGTAAATAGTCGAAATCAATGGGTCCATGTACCTTGGACAGATAAAATATGTGCAACGCGGGGACATTGGAACTCTGTTCTTTTATTATTTTGTTAACTTGTGTTGCCTATAACTTGTCTCGTTCCTGCATTGTTGCCAAAGGTTTAATTTTAAGTGTCCGTTGTTTGTATTTTGTTTACTTGTGATCCCTACGATTTGTCTCGTTCTTGCATTGTCTTCAAAGCTTTAGTTTTGAGTGTTCATTGTTTGTATTTTGTTAAATTGTGTTGTCTATGACTTATCTCGTTTCTGCAGAGTCCCAAAGCTTTAATCTAAAGTGTTCATTGTTTGTAGTTTGTTAAAATGTCTTGCCTATGACTTGTCTCGTTCTTGCATGAATCCTTAAACTTTATTTTTAAGTGTTCATTGTTTTTATTTTGTTTACTTATGTTGCCTATGGCATGCCGCGTTCCTGCATTGTCCCCAAATCGTTCATAGTTTGTATTTTGTTTACTTATGTTGCCTATAACTTGTCTCTTTCGTACACTGTCCCAAAAGTTTTAGTTTTAAGTGTTCACTATTTGTATTTTGTTTATTTGTGTTGTCAGTTGCTTGCCTCGTTCATGCTAGTTGTTAATTTCTATGTCATTTGGTCTCTTGTGGAGAGTTGTCTCATTTGCAATCTAACATCTTCTTATTTTTATATTGTCCCAAAAGTTAGTTTTTAGTGTTCATAGTTTGTATTTTGTATACTTGTGTTGCGTATTACTTGTCTCGTTCCTGTATTGTCCCCAACGCTTTTTCAGTGTTCATTGTTTGTAGTTTGTTTATTTGTGTTGCCTATGTCTTGTCTCGTTCCTTCACTGTCCTTGAAGTTTTAGTTTAAGTAGTCATTGTTTGATTCTGTCTATTTGTGTTGCCTATAACTTGTCTCGTTCCTACAGTGTCTTCAAAGTGTGGGCTTGAATCCCAATTTTTATATTTATTCCACATTTTAGGTGAAATGAAAGGACCTTTATGTTTTAACTTATTTGTTTATTGTTCTTTGATTTGTATTTTTGTTAACAAGATCATTTACCAAGAATTGATATGCAATTTGTACGATTTCATTTTCATTGATGATGACTAAATATCTACCGTAAGAAATTATGTAAAGAAAAAATAATTTGTTATTAAGGGAGTATGTCTAATTTATCGGCTGGATCGGAACCAATGAAAATTACTTGTACCACTCTAACGACATTCTCATTCACCTGCAGATTGTAACGAAACGTGAAAGTAATTGCGAATGTATAGAGTACTTGCATTGCTGTTCTCGTCGAATCTCAATGACCCCAAAATACAGCTGATATTCTTCTTACGGACGATATATCCTATTTGAATGCTTTTTTCAAAAGCTTAACAATGACCTCTTGACTGAGTACATACTTGTGATTTAAATGTAACGAGATATAAAGTTGTGCCATGACTTTAGTGAAACCATTTACGCCGGTGTATTGATATCATAACAAAACATTTGATAGAACCATAGATAGAATTGCGATTATATATATGATAGAACAAAAAAATATATATTTCCTCTGGGGAATAGGCTAGAATTCAACAGACTTTAGACCCGACAATAAGTTTGCAATGTTCCAATCCTTTAGGTTTTTTTCTTAAGGTCGAAATTCCCCAATACCTGGTGTCACTGAAACCGGAGACTAATACTCATCTATTTGTCAAAGCCTAACCCATATTTAATCAGTCTTATAAAAAGTCCGATGAATTCTGGTCTTATGAAGTACACAGGTGAATATCCCGACAAGATTCCAACATGCTTCAACATCAATGAAAAAAATATATATAAAAAATAAAGAGAAATATTTCATTTAACTATTTTAAACTGACACGTGCTTTTCTAATCAGTTATCGCAAAAATCTTACCTTCGTACTGAAATACTCCAACTGTACTTGTAATCAATCTGGAGAAATGTAAACAATGTTATCGTCTTAACCGTTATGTAATCTGTATTTTGGTTGGATCACTTAAATCTTTTGAATTTATACACAGACAGCGAATAGAAGATCAATACACAAAGACACCGGTTTTACCAAAAAAAAAAACACGTATCTAATAATCGATGTGTCAACCATTTCGTATTTCGTAAGTTATGTACGATGCTAGTAATTACTATAATCACAGATTTAATCTATAGATTTGTATATATAAACAAAGATGCATAACATGTACTTACTTCTATTTTGGTAATGTTACACTATATCACAACCATTATTATCTTTGTAAAACTGTGGTGAATATATGTAGATAAAATCAATGTTTCTTTTAAGTCTCACCCTTTTCTTTCGCAAATTATGGAATATCCCATCCCGCTTTTTTTTAGATAATATACGAGATACAATTGTTAATAACTATCATAGATAATATTATACGAGATACGTTTGTTAATTCATAAGACAGTACATACATTTCTCACTGATTAGAAATGTTGCAAATAGAACGGAGGCATTGAAAATAATAGATTTAAATTGTGTATAGGTCTCTCATCATTCAAAAGCATTAAGGGCTATCGGCTTGATTTATTAGCTGATTTCAAAATGTCGATTTTAAATACTAACTGGCCTCTCACACATACTGCCGATTTCAAAAATACTTATGAGACTTTATGACACGTGTTAGGAGTGTTGTTTCTGATTCGTTTGATTTTTTTGTACGGCAGTTTTCAAACGACTGCTGTGATTACCTATGCTAGCTCCCTGTAGTATCGAGCCCATTTTAAAACTTCATTCCTATAGTATCTATGTTCCATCAGTTATTTATTTGTATAAGTAAGTGGTTTTCCTGTGAGAGCTTGACTTTGGAGATTTGTTATTGCATGCTCTATTTTACAAGATATGGTCAATATCGGATATGAAGTGAACGTACAACTGTTAAACACACAAAGTTTTATGCCTACAACAAGTCTGAATAACTTGGCCATGTGTTTCTTCGATGATTTTTGTATGTCTATTTGTTAAAGGATTCGGTTGATGGTGATTTGTATGCTGTGTTGTGTTGTGTTGTTTTTTTGATAATTCCTGTGATCTTGTGATTTTTTTTATTATGTATTATTGCAGCATTCTTATTTCTTGTGTTGCCTCTTTAAACAATCATTCTCATTCTAGACTAGACTATAGTACCAAATCACAGAACTGTTTTTACACTAGCAAGTACGAGAAGTCTTCATTCTCATTCTAGACTAGACTATAGTACCAAATCACAGAACTGTTTTTACACTAGCAAATACGAGAAGTCTTCATTCTCATTCTAGACTAGACTATAGTACCAAATCACAGAACTGTTTTTACACTAGCAAATACGAGAAGTCTTCATTCTCATTCTAGACTAGACTATAGTACCAAATCACAGAACTGTTTTTACACATAGCTAATACGAGAAGTCTTCATTCTCATTCTAGACTAGACTATAGTACCAAATCACAGAACTGTTTTTACACTAGCTAATACGAGAAGTCTTCATTCTCATTCTAGACTAGACTATAGTACCAAATCACAGATGCAAAACCTATAGAACTGTTATGCGTGTTCCAAGCTATATATAACGTACTATATATGATGTTTACCTATTATGAGCTACATGACGGGTGTCGCAAGTAGAGCAGGAACTGTGTAACTAACCTTTTCAGTAGGACATGAGTTTTTATTCGGGTTAATGTTTCAATCGCATTTTGTCACCATACATATAGTTTTACAAATTAATTCGTTGGAATTTTGAAGTTTTTACTGTATATTTATAGCACTTTAATTTTCATTAGGCACTTCCTTAGGAAATATGAAAGAAAACAAGTAAAAACAACAGCGTACAGACTACGTGCAAATATAATATACTTGAAAAATAAAACAGTTGTGACATATCTACAATTACTTCTTTATTGTTTTTGAAAAAGGATATTCTGATAGAATATAATAATTGAAAAAAAAAATATTTCGCTTATCTCCTTCAAAATGGTGACTCATTTAAATGTGATAGAGTATCATTTTTCAAAATACTCCAAGTTAGGAAAAGTAATGCACTGAAATAACGCGTGACTAAATTGTGCATCAGTTGATGTCTGTTTATTCCACGATAAGCAGTACAGTGCATGTATATTACACAAATAGCCGTACAGTGCAATTTCCGTGAAATCAACGTCTAAGCTCTAGGATAAACGCACGTATGCCAGTCAAAAAGAATAATTTTGCAATCATTGCATGATAAAGTGGTAAAGAATCATGTTAACCTTATAAAACAGGATGCAGTAATCTCACCTTCAAACATTGATCAAGAAGTCGATGACATATGTGTTCGAGCGCATGCTGATTTTGTATTTATATGAAAAGAACCTTATATGACTAACATTTTGTGTACGTGTATGCAAGAACTTAACTGAACTTTAATTTATCAGTGCTACGAACTAGATTAAACCCCATATTGATGTTTCTGTGTGTTTGTTTAGTTTCACACATCTTTCTGTTTTCCAGGATACAATTTACATACGCTCGTTAATCACAACACATATCCTGGTATACAAATTTTCGAAACTGAAGAATATATTAAATCAGGGAGTGGATTGAGAACTTAAAAAAAAGAAATCTTTAAAACTCAGAGTTTTGATTGGATTTATAACAAAACTCGGATGCAAGCTGTATATTATTTTTTCTACGGCATGTTACTGCATTTACGTTAAATATATTGTAGAAAGTCAAAGTTTGCTATATAAATCAAGCTCTCGTTTTGTTGTTTTGTCTTTCCATTTGTCTCCATGTCTTTCCGTCGATCTGTTTATAATAGCACCTTCTAAATCGCTTGATAAATTTGAAAGAAAAATCGGTCTTATATAGCGCACCACATAATGATGTTCACGAAGACATAGTACGAAGGGATTAAGAAGAGTTGGCTTTAGATATTTTTTTATTAATATATCATTTGAAGATGTACGCAAAAGAATGTTAGTCTAACAAGTTAATTAAATATGCATTCCTGATCTCTGCAATAAGTTACTGTAGTATAATTCTAAACATATAGACGTTGAATAATTGAATAATAGTTAAAAAAAAAAAAGGCAAGAAACAACTTCTTGTGGAAAGAAGTGTAAAGCACTTGTTCAAAAGACATCTCGTTTTTTTAATATCAAGAAAAAAAAGAGATGTATGATCATCGTTAAAAATGCAAACATTTTATTATGCATGTCAAGGAAAATAAAATGAAAGCAATCGCCTGAAGTTTAATTTATTTTTGAATTATGCAAATAGTTTGTAGTGTTCATATTTATACATGAACTAATTACTAATTTGGAAATTTTCAGTAAATGTAGCTGACACAATTGAAAAATAAAGAGCCAGAAAGGCCATAACACTCTCCAACATATCTTGAAACGAATGGATCAAAAACTTGGAAATTAGAATCAATGCAAAAATTCTATATCATGACAATGAACAAGAAATCCAACCAATTCTAACAACTCAGCGGACACTTCCGAGAGGAGATAACACCAATACATACCCCGGACTTCAAACTTTTGACGACTAAGAGTAAACATGTGCTGAAGAATCAGACCCCGACCACATAATACTAAAGCAAGGAAGACGCCAAGTCAGACCCAAACAAATTTATTACTTTATATCAATGAACATTGTTGAAAGACAATCCCTGTATAACAATTAACAGTAAAAAAAACCAACAATCATCCACCAAATATTAGAATGCATCAGAACAGCTACTCACTGAAACAATTAAGAAGACAACATAATTTATTCATGACAAAACATCAGAAGGATTCAAAGCGGCACTTGTGTAATGACCATTACTTATTGCGCTCTACAACTAGGTTCAATATAACCCTAGATATTCTGCAACGTACCTCTACAGATATAGATACAGAATTGCATTATATAAACATTATGCATAAGGACATGTCTGCGGGGACACCACCGTATTTGTAATGGAGGTAAATAGCAACATCGGGGCCACTGAAAATAGAGGTAGCATGAGTGTTCATAGATCCATTAAAAATATGTATCAGAAGGAAGACGTAGATACTTTTCCCGACTGAATTAAGGCAGTTAGTTCAAGAATATGGATTTGGACTCGCGCTATTTCGGCTCTATAATGAACACTTTTCGTAGTCAAGTGTTGTTGACAATATTAAGATCAACAGTTATAACGTGGTCAGTAAGATTGAATATGAATACGGGATTTGCACAGGTGCAATCAGAAGGTTAAGAATGCTCTCATCAATATTGGGATCCTGCAACACATGTTTGTAGTTTTTATTAGTAATTTTAGTCGCAACATGTGAGGTATAGGTATAAGAGATGATTTTAACTGACCGATCTTTAGAGTTGTGATGAAGGATATTGCCTAAATTGGTGGCAAAAAACCTTTGTTGGCAAATGCGAGTTTGAGAAAGGGTTGTTTTGTTGTTTCATCTTTATCAGTGTCAATCGGTTTGAACGATTTGTGATGGGAAATAAACGAAATGATGGCTGTATTTTGTTCTAGTTCTAGTTAGAATGAGTGTTTCCAAACATAATTTGTACAAAGAAATATCTTTTGAAAATATGAAAATAGCTTCAGGTGGATGTGACCTTACGTACAAATGATAAATGGTCAATTATACAGACATCATGAAGAATGTGTGATGTATAATGAGATGACAAATGCGTGTTGAAATATTACAGAGGTACCAGAAGGGTTAGGAACTCATGCATACAGAGTGCATTTTTCATGACATGATTTATTTAAAAGCCAATTGCGTGCATACACTATTAATTGTTGGATTTTTATCATATGTTTGGCATTGTGTTGAATTAGTAAATATTGTTTCAGTACACTTTATTTCTGTACACCAAACAGTAACATTTTCTTCTTTTATTGATAAGAGGAAAATTTCGAAAACTAGATATTTCTAATCGATTACATAACCTGCATTTGTACATGTGAGATAATTTGACTTTAATGCTGTTTAAAGAAACTACATATCATTCAAGAAAATCGTCAATGAATAATAAGTGGTAATGTACATGTCTTTTCTCCGTTTTTGGTTTTTTTTTGCCATGTGTTGTCGGTTTATCTTCATCTTATTAGTTTTAAATGTTCCTTTGGTATCATCCGCCTTTTACATAGATGTGTTCACTCTGCAAGGAGAGATTTCACTGGTTTATCGTTGAACACCTTGTAGAAAAGCGCAAGACAAAGAACACCAATAAAAAAGAATAATATTTACTATAACGCGTGTAACAATTTAGCATACGATACTTGAAATTTTATAAAAATATTTCTTGCAGAAATGTAAGAACAAGTAAGCTGTACCAATGAACTCATCATATATACCAGGCTTATTATTTGGTACGCCAGACGCTCGTGTCGTCTACAAAAGACTCATCAGTTACGCGCGAATAAGAATAAATATATCAAAAGGCCAAATAAAGTACGAAGTTGAAATCATTGAGGACCAGTAATTCCGAAAGGTTTTTCTAAATACAGCTTAGAAAGTTGGCGCCTATTAAAACGTTTAAACCCGCTGCATTTGTTTGCACCTGTCCTAAGTCAGGAACCTGATGTTCAGTGGTTGTCTTTGTTGATGTGGTTCATAAGTGTTTCTCGTTTTTTATATAGATTAGACCGTTGGTTTTCCTGTTTGAATGGTTTTACACTAGTCATTTTTTGGGGCCCTTTATAGCTTGCTGTTCGGTGTGAGCCAAGGCTCCGTGTTGAAGGCCGTACTTTGACCTATAATGGTTTACTTTTACAAATTGTGACTTGGATGGAGAGTTGTCTCATTGGCACTCATACCACATCTTCTTATATCTAGGTAATTATTCCTTGGGTACAAAATCCCTAGAACAATTCAGTTTTGTAAACAGTTAATTTATGAATATGATCATACCAATGTTATTCAACTGAACAGAATTTTATGACTTTATTAGGGAACATTTTGATTATTTATTGGTTCTAGACCAGAATAAAACCAATTATGTGGCTTTGAGCCTCTTGATGGAGGTAATCCAGAAAAGCAATTCCAACGCATAAAATGTATAAAGTGTTATTAACAATTTCACCCTGCCACGTCTGGTCTGTGTTTTTGTTACTTGATTTTCTGCTTTGTATCGGTGTGATGAGTTAAGCCTTTTCATCTAATTTTTATAGTTTGTTCATATGTTGTATTGTTACACCCCTGTCCTAGGTTAAAAAAGGGGGGGTGCGCCCGCCAACATGTTTAACCCCGCCACATTCTGTATGTGCCTGTCCCAAGTCAGGAGCCTATAATTCAGTGGTTGGCGTTTGTTGCTGTATATCATATTTGTATTTCGTTCATTGTTTTTTTTTACATAAGTCAGGCCGTTAGTTTTCTCGTTTGAATTGTTTTACATTGTCATTTCGGGGCCTTTTATAGCTTACTTTGCAATATGGGTTTTGCTCATTGTTGAAGGCCGTACGGTATATCATTTGGTCTGTGGTGGAGAGTTGTCTCATTGGCAATTATACAAATAATGGCAACAGTAGTATACCGCTATTCGAAATTCATAAATCGATTGAGAAAAAAACAAATCCGGGTTACAAACTAAAACTGAGGGAAACACATCAAATATAAGAGGAAAACAAACCCACAACAGAAACTCAACACTAAAATGCAACAGACACAGAAACGAACTATAATATAACAATGGCCATTTTCCTGACTTTGTACAGGACATTTTAAGAAAAAAATGGTGGGTTGAACCTGGTTTTGTGGCTAGCCAATCCTCCCGCTTTTATGGCTATGTTAAACATAACATTAAAATGACAAGATTACATGACAGGACTACAATACAAATAAATGGGAGAACATACAGGACAGAGACACACACAAATAATAGCTATCAAAAGGTACCAGGCTTATAATTTAAGAAGCTAGACGCGCGTTTCGTCTACATAAGACCCATCAGTGACGCTCAGATCAAAAAAGCCCGAAAGCCAAAACAAGTACAAAGTTGAAGAGCATTGAGGACCAAAAGTTCCGAAAAGTTGTGCCAAATACGGCTAAGGTACAACATCTTCTTATTTTCATAAGCAAGGTTTTCCATACATCTTGCAACGTATAAACCAGCTTTATAAGAGATTTGCTGCACTAACAAATTATCCAGACTACAGAATTCGTCTGTGTGTTTTATTAGCAATAAAATTAGAGAAAAATGAGCAATCATTCTATTATTGTATATCGATTATTATCTTTATAAAGTTATAACTTTACGAGAATATTATTCTTCCTATGGAAAAAAACCTATTAAACAGCTTTAATTTTTCTTATTTTAACGCCGAAATGCCGTTAATTTCGACATGAGTTTGAATGTCCCTCTGGAATCTTTCGCCCCTCTTTTAATTGCATTGATGTTTACAAATAGATAGAAATGCATGATGCAAACCTAAATATCCTTTTACGTTCAATATACAGAATGTTGAGAGAGAGAGAGAAATGGGACAATAACAAAGTGATTATAGATTGTAGCTAAACAATTGAGTAATTATTCTATTATTATATATGGAATATTATCTTTATAAAGTTATAACTTTTCGAAAATATGTAAATGCGATAAACGTACGGTTTGCATCGCATTTGTACTTTGATGATATGTTTTATTGATGAAATCGATATTTGACATCACGTTTATCCTAGAAAAATCTGTACTTACTAAGTATATTTCTACATTATATTGTCACTACAGATATCCCTCATGAGTGTGTTAATGTGATAAAAGAACCGAATGCAGTGAAATGATGATTGCTGGTGTTTGATAAGTCCGAACTCACTATCGATCATACTAATATAATACACCAGTCAATACTAATGGGAAATTTGTCTGCATTTAACTTGTGTTTGGAAGTGTATATGAGCTAAAAATTATGATCACATTAAACATCGACCAGCAATAATTCTGATAGAAATGATTTAGCTCTATCATAATGCTTGGTTTTTATGTGCATTTGGTATATAATATACAGGTCTTTGTCATCATGTACTTTCCCGTCAAGAGTTAATAGAAACCCCTGTTGCAAAGTGAACTTCGTTTGAGTCCAATATAAGGAAAATTAAAATGGTATTGTTGTATACCGGTAGTAAATTATGTATTGTAGGGAAGGTCTTTTCTCAATAAAGAGTACAAACCTAACGGAAATGTACTCCGATTGTCTTTGGTGTGTAGTTATCAGGAGTTACACCCCAGTTCTATTGTTATACTTCATAGTTTCTATTTCTGAAACAAGTGTAAATTGAATAGATCTATTGTTACGAATAACAATGGATTTTGACTACAGGGTGTGACGAGCGGGGTTTCTGGAAACCCCTGCTTCTACATCCCACAAACAAAGTCCATTGTTATTCGTAACAATAGAAATTGATTATTTTTTTAAATAGCATAAATATAAGAAATTACTAATAGTGTGCACAACAAATTGTTTCAAGATATTAAAAAAAAAACACATTTTAGGAAATTCCAATAGCGAAAAAAAAATTAAGCTTCTATTTTGAATACAAAATTATCCTTTAAATACTCCTTTGCTTGAAGGTATATTTTTTTTATCCCAGTCATATGTCTCTATTCTAATTTCTAAAGCATTGAAAAACGGGGATTCTAACTCCCGGACCCCCTCCCCCTCAGTTACCCAGTGGCCGATCAGGGGGTGGAGGTTCCGCGGGTTGGACCCGACTTTTATTTAAATGATCAATGCAATTTGAATGGTTGGACCCCCCCCCCCTTTTTTCTCTTGAGTTGGGAACCCCTGGCTGGATCAGCCCTTGATTGCCCCCAAAAAGGGAGTTCCTAAATATTAAATCTGTATCTTTGTGTGTTGAGCGTGTCTGGTAGTCGGGTTTCTAATGCAGACACACCTATCCCTTAGTATGTCCGAATATGATTGGGGTTTTTTTCCCCGAGAAGAGGGGGAGGAGCTTTTGTTCTATAAAACCGTATTAAAGATATAAAATAAAGTTATGATTACCTTTATTAAACTGATACAGGTAAGTACTTTGGGTTATAATATTGTCTTCATCTTTAGTCTCTTCTACCAAATTCAACGCTTGCCACAAAATGTCGTCTGTCTTATACCCGTCCATCTTGACAACTGAATACAAGGAGCATGATGTATTTTTTGTTAGTAAGAAGAATACACGAAACAGTCAACCTTGACCTGCTGATCCATATTAGCACATGGATTTAACGGGAATATGTAAAACAACTTTGACATTTGTAAAATATACTCACTTGTCAAAGTTTGAACGAAGATAATCAAAGAAAGGTTACTAGTGGGGTTTCATGTAATAAAAAAAATTCTTATAAATCATGGTTTGATATTATCAATAAATATGCTATCGTTTATTTCATTTTTTTTCATTTAATAATCAATGTTAACAAATATAGGGTTTAGAATGGGGTGTAAGTTAGTTATACACCTCGGGATACGGCGTGTCTTGATAAGAAACCCCTCCGGCCTCCGGCCGACGGGGTTTCTTATCCAGACACACCTATCCCTCGGTGTATAACTATTACAGAGTTATTATTACTGGTATGTTTATCAAATGTGTAACTGTTCTTATATTCTTTTGTGACGTTTTTTCTCTCTCGTTTTAATGAAATTCGTTTGATCAGGCTTTTATGTGTTTTTTTTTGTTCATAACTGCCATGGCAGATTTAATTTTTTTTTTTCGATCAAGAAAGACGTTTTTAATTTTGTAATTTTGGACGCATAAGAAAATCAATTTTATTTGAAAAATTCTGCTATTTGTGATTATTCACGAATAAAGAGAAGAAGATAAAAACCAAGGAGTCAATAATAATAGTTGTATTGATAATAAATAAAAGAAGTGAAAAATAAAAAAAAACATTACACAGAAAAATTTAGATTGACAAACCACATGTTGGTTGTGTCCTAATATAAAAAAAATTACAGTCAAAAACAAAAAAATAGAAAAAAAAACCCAACATCATGGGAAAAAAAAAATCACAAAAAGACGACAAAACACAAGTTCATTAGAACCGGCTTTGTAGATAAAAGTATCGCTTCTGATAAGCGAGGGATAATAAGATAACAAGTAAATGTACTGTTGCATTATTCTAATTCTCTTTGAATGAATTATTGAACTTTTTCATCGAGAAATAATTTTTATAAATGCGTTCTTAATGAACGGTTTATATACCAATTTGTGGCATTTTTTGTCCTGTTGAATTGGTAACGTTTTCTGATGAAGAGAATTAACTTGAAAATTGTCATAAGAAGTAAAACATGAAAGTTATCTTGTTTACGTTCATAATACATAGGTGCATTGTATTCTTACGGCGAGTAACCTAAACTTTTGGGAGCACTTATATCGTGTCTATCAAAATACTGTTTGAATTAACAATACGGCAGGTACAAAGTGCTTATTATTACAAGGAAAAAAATCCGTCTGTGGTTTACGCGTTTCCTCTTTAGAGTACACACTCACTGTAGCATATACTTGGTACAACGACTTTTAAAACGAGGGTAAACTTTTACAATTGAGAAATAATTACTTAAAAATCTGTTCAAAATATGCTTTATTCACGAGGTAGCATAATTTTCAGGCCATCTTTGTTGTACTTTCAAAGGACATTTGTTCGTCATAGATAACAAAGTCTTACAAATAGTTATAAGAATATTCTCTTTATCGATTATTAGACTTGACTTGGATGAAACTGCAGGACAGTAGGAGGTATTCAATGATCATCTATGTGACAGTTTCCGTTTTGGAGTCGAAACGGTTCCTGAAATGCCTTTTCTTCTTAAATCGACTTCATTAAAAAAAAGAACAATGTATTAAGAATTGTCATCGGTCAAAGGTCTTTAATGTCTTTCATATGAAAAATTCAGAGGTAAAACCTTGATGTTACTTCGAAAGTAAGACAACTTAAAAGACATATTAAAGAAATGCAAAATTTACAAACATAGAGATGTATTTGAAAGAAACGCTTTTAACAATTGCCAAAAAGGTAGCGATAATTTAGTTCAAAATTGAATTCAAATAAAGAAAATATGAATCGACGTTACAGCAAATATCCGAAGTCCAGGTTCAAAACATAAGTCAAGTGATGCTATCAAAGTTATAAGTCCAGGAGGACAAACACAATAATGACCAGAAGGGAAATAAAAGAAGAGACGTACATCAATAATCTAAAAACCTATACAGAAAACAATGATTTAGCAACCCTATTGAAATCATTTGTAAACTCAAGTGCTCAGCCGGAATAGCCATAGATTCACACTACTTGCTTCATTAGTAACACCTGTCGCGTTACAATTCTGTAAGTCATCGTCGGTGATTCATACAATAGCGGGTCGGTAAATGTCACTTATCTGACCCTGTAAGCTGCTACCAAAGTCGTAAACTATCGCAAAATATAAGTTCTCTTACCCTAGAACGTGACCAAATGTGAAAGTATAGAACTGTTTAGGACAAAATAAAGATAACATCATAGATATAGAAAAAATATAAAAAAAATAAGATAGGAAAAAGCCAAGAACAAAAGAAAAATAAAGAAAAACTACCTCAAATCTTTCTCAAAAACTGTTGGTAAAATTCAGGTATTCAGGAAGTACCCATTTAATTAGTTACCCCCGATATGTTCTGATGGCAGGTAATTGGTGTTAAGTCGCATTCGGTAATACGTCATAAAAGATGAAAGGATGACTGGATTGTGCTTATGACAAATGGAACAGATGCTTAGTTATTCGAGACACAGATTTTCAAATAAAACAAATATAGGACTTAACACAGTTCCAATATCATAAACTACAAGAGGTAAGCGTTTGGCAAGTTCATAAATGTTGTAATCCCAGCTTCCTTAAACTTGCACTCCCTAAGATTATGTCAGGCATACGTTATTGTAATTGGTTAAGAGTAAATGATCGTAAAATGATAAAAGCTAGACAATGAGATCGTGGAAGAACTAAAACGACAGAACAAAAGCAAAGAGAACCAAAGAGAAAAAGAAAAAAAACTTGAGCATTGTTAATAAGATTTTAATCTATTTGATGAATCTCTTGAGGACAAAGAGAACTCTAGTCATTTTCAATTGATACATAAGAAGACAAATGTCATCGATATTGACTGAGGCTTTGTTAAAAGAGTGACCAAATAATTTTCGCATTTTCACTTGTGTTATTATAATGATGTCGATGCTGTTAATGAATATAACAGTTATGAATAAGATGTCGTTTTGGTGTGATTTAGGTTATTTTATATAACACACTTACCTTTTTGGTATGATTTGCTTTCAGAAATATCCATTTCTTGTTCAAAATAAATTTTCGAAACAATGATTTTTCCATAAAAATTGTAGAATTCTATTATTAACATAAGAACATTCGTCTGATCTAAAAATCACATGGGGATCATTGTCATTGAGCGATCAGATATAATACAATCGATTAGGATGTGGATTATTTATTGATGTTATTGTTTATATTAAGTAAAAATTGTTTTTTCTAAGATTTTTTTTCATTGTTATATTTGGTAGGCAAGTTTACATGATTTGTAATATTTTTTTTACCAACAATAAAGATAATATAATGAAATTTCAGGACCTTCTGGTAATATTTAAAACAGTAGAAGAATTGTATAAGTAATCTAACCTTAAGTTTACATCATGGAACATTGGTTTTAACTTTGAATTTTTGATAAACGATTAAAGTCGATTTTAACCATTTGAATGAACACTAAAGTCATATTATATGTTTATTTATTTTATGTTTGTGGTTTATTGAACACATTATAAACTATTTATTTGAAAGGTTATTACAAAATTGTTAGTTAATTCGTTTTTAAATAATGTATAGGCTGAATCAGAATATTTTAAGAGGTTTTAATATGTATACGCCTACAAAATGTACAAAACAACACCATTATGAAATAAGGAAACAGTCAATACAATTATCCTTAAATATTTCGGATAACAGATATCTTTCATCAGTTTGATGTTAGATGAACCCAATCTATTATGATTTTACTAAAACAATCTTGAACATAATACAAGTTCAAAGCACGCTTGTATAATTCTAAAATTTCAAAGTCTAGAGTCTGCGTAGATATGTTTAAAAAATTAATAGCAATGTGCTATTTGAACTTCTTTAATTCTACAATTCCAAAGTTGACGCAGGTTAAGTATTTACAACTGAGAAGTCGTAGATATGCATCCAAATAGCGCTGTGCGATTTGAACTTGTATAATTCTATTTTAAAGGTTAATTACAACAGGGACCGCGAAGATACGCATCCAAAACGAATAGCACTGTGGTCGTCATGGACAATGTGATTATATTCAGGAGGCAGCATGTCAACTTTCTAATGAACGATTTTATATCAATTAAACTCTGACCCAACTTCTAAATTCAACAAAAAAGTCAACACAGGCTTCTAACTTTGGTATTGAAATGCAATAAGTTGTTAATCTTCAATTGTGACTGTTAATGACGTCTTTACACTAAATCCATTGGACGTTGGATTTGTACTGATTGATATTTTAGTTTTAGATGCATGATTTTTTAACTTTTATTAGTTGTTATTGGCTTTGAACTAGCTGTCAGTTACTGCGTGTACTCCCAGATCTGTACTTAATGTCTTTTTGTTTTGGGGATGTATAAAGAAAGGCAACAGCAGTATACCGCTGTTCAATAGTCATAGTATAAGTACCCTGTCACGTCCACTCTGTTTTTGTTAGATGTATTTCTGCTTTGTATCGATCTGATGAATTAAGCCCTTTTCAACTGATTTTTATAGTTTGTTCTTATGTTGTACTGTTACACCACTGTCCCAGGTTATGGGGAGTGTTGGCGTCTTCAAACTAGTTTACACCCGCCACATTCTATGTGTGCCTGTCCAAAGTCAGGAGCTTGTAATTCAGTGGTTGGCGTTTGTTGCTGTATATCATATTTGTTTTTCGTTCATTATTTTGTACATAAATCAGGCCGTTAGTTTTCTCGTTTGAATTGTTATACATTTGTCATTTCGGGGCCTATTATAGATGACTTTGCGGTATGGGTTTTACTCATTGTTGAAGGCCGTACGGTGACCTATAGTTGTTAGTGTCTGTAGCATTTGGTCTCTTGTGGAGAGTTGTCTCATTGGCAATCATACCACATCTTCTTAATCTTATACTATCACCAGGTTAATGAAACAGCAATGGGAACAAAATAGCCTCGTCCTATGCCAATATTTTATGGGAAATTGAAACTGCAAATTATCAATACTTCTCTTTATCCACATCTCTTGGTTCCGATTCATCGACAATATTGACATAAAATGGGATAATACTGAAAAAGAACTTAATGTGCTCATTCAACATGCATACGAATTCCATTCCTCAATCAAATTCACTTATGAAATATTTGAAAAATTATCTCACCTTATCCGCGAAAATTGGAAAGAAGTAAAAAAACATCCTTAAAAGTAAAATAGCAAAAATACCGATCTCCAAGGAAAATTCAAAACGGAAAGTCCCTTATCAAATGGCAAAATCAAAAGCTCGAACACATCTAAACTATCCAAAATCCAGCCTTAGCCATCTGTACTGATTTGCCGTAGGCCCCCTTCCCCAAAAAGTCTTAAAGACTTTCTGGTGAGAGCTGATTTATCATCTAAACCGGACTTTTCGTCAGCGGGATCTTTGAAGCTAGGGTTGTAGGAACAAAAGATTTCTGACTAACTGAAATACCGAATACCAAGACTTTTAACAATCACTACACTGGAACGAAATACACCACATTTTGCAGTGTAGCTTGCAAGAATATGAATACTGTGTATCTTCTACAGTGTGAATGTGGTAAACAATATGTTTATGGACATCGTAGTGACTATGTATGTAAATCGGACCTTTCTCTCAGTTGACATTTGAGATCCCTTGGCCACAGTAAGGCAGATTTCAATCGACTGACAATTACTATCATTGACCACAACATTGCTTGTTATAGGGAGTAGTGAATCACTCCGGAAAGAAAATTGAAAACGTTGGTACCAAATCCCCGGGGATCAATAAAAAGGTGTAGTTCAAATAGCGCAGTACTATTCATTTTGGGTGCATATCTACGCAGTCTCTGTTGTAAATGCTTAACCTGCGTCAACTTTGAAATTTAAGAATTATACAAGTTTGGTGACTATATTGAACGCATCAATCACATCAAACTTGATATAAAGGATACAACAGACACATTTTAGTATGCCTCATATTTTGACTTGCATCTAGAAATTGAAAATGAGGGTCGGTTGAGAGCAGAACTTTACGACAAAAGAGATGGTTTCAGCTTCCTAATTGTGAACTTTCCATTTCTATGTAGCAACATTCCAGCAGCGCCTGCATATGGAGTATATATCACCCAGTTGATACGATATTCCTGGGCTTGCGTTCTTTATCATGATTTACTTGATAGAGGGTTACTGCTCACAAAAAAGCTATTAAACCTAGAGTTCCAAGTGGTGTAGTTAAAATCATCTCTCCGTATCTTCGTAAATGTTACGGACGCCATCACGAGTTGGTTGACCGTTACTGAATATCTGTTTCACAAATGACGACGGATATGTTCCCGAATGTGACCTACCGAATTAAACTTATCACCGGGTTTGCACTTACATGAACAACACGACGGGTACCATATGTGAAGCAAGATTTGCTTACCCTTCTTAATCATCTGAGATCACTCCCGGTTTTTGGTGGGGTTCGTGTTGCTCAGTCTTAAGTTTTCTATGTTGGGTTTTGTATATTGTTTTTTGGTCTTTTTCTTTTATTTGACATGGCGTTGTCAGTTTATTTTCGAATTATGAGTTTGAATGTCCCTTTGGTATCTTTCGCCTCTCTATTTTTAATTGCACAGTGCTATTCATTTTGGATGCATTTCTACAAATTTCCTGTTGAAATTACTTAGCCTGCGTCAGAAATTTTAGAATTATACAAGTTCAAATCGCACATTAATATTCATTTTGGATGCATTCATACGCCGTCTCTGTTGTTAATACTTTACTTGCGTGAACATTGAAATTTTAGCATTATACAAGCGTGATTCGGTTTGTAATTTGTACTGAGTTCAAGATTGTTTTAGTAAAATCAAAATAGATTGATATGATTTATTTTACGTCATACTGATAGAGGATATTTGTTATCCGAAATATTTATTGATACTTGTATTAACCGTTTCCTCTTTTTTTATATTGGTGTTGAATTGTACACTTTTTAATCGTAAGTAGAATTCATGTACTGTGAACAGTAGCATTTTTCATAACGATCCAATGCCCTCTTAAGAAAGATCGTTAACTGATATCTAAACATTTTATATATATGAATATATTCTGTTATATACTTATACATGTAGTGAAGTACGCTTTTGAAAATTATTTCTATTTTACTCTAATATTGATGGCTGTAATTTAAGATTTCAGATAGCAACGTTATAATCAATATAGGAAGACATGATGTTATGCAATGCCCAATACAAATACTATATAAGTATTAAAAAAGGTTAATATGACAATTCTAAGCCTTATAAATATTTTTTCTGTTAAGAGGTTGGCGTAAAATACAATACGTTCAGTGGCAAATTATCAGAACGATCACTGGCGTTGACTTTGATGGATTTTTATTTATACTCACAAGAAAAAAGAGAAGCATGAAAAACAACATAAAATTAAACAATGTGTCACAATCCCAAATACTGCTTTTCATGGTTGGTAATACATTTATGTTCCAGATGACTTTGCATTGTTGAACATGCTAGTTTGAATCAATAACTTAACCTTCAGAAAACCTGTGTCAAATATCTTTGTTCATTTTGAATTATGTATTAATTTCTGTTTAGATTATACATATGTTACATACAACTTTGACTTGACGATTTGAACCGTTCCAAAATAATAATAAATTTTACTCTTTTATTTGCTTAAGATGATTAGTTTGTTTTATTAATTAAATGTATGATACAGATTTGAAATAACTTCAGATTGGTATGGAAGGAACATCAAATTACTTAGAGCATTTACGTAGTTATTTCTGATTAATCATTTCATCAGAGCCAATTGTAAGGTTTTCTTATAAAAATATTTACTGTTTACGGTATTTTTGTACAAATCATTTAAAAGATATCTGTATAACTAAATACCCTTTACCTCCGAAACTACACGACCCCCCGCTGTGGTGTTGTGAACACGTAAAACTTGTATCGCCAATATTACTGAAGATACGAATTTGCAGAAGTTGGTAAATCTAAAAGATTATAGTTTAGATTGCATAGGTTGTTATCCTCTTAAGTTTGTGTCTTTATGTCTTAAACCACTTGTCACTAAAATATACAATCACAAACACG